AACAGCGCTAGTACCAAGCGTTATCGGAAGGATGCTCGCTGGGAAGAAACTTTCGTCGAATAAAAGGATGATCGCCTCTTTTGATACAAAAAAAAAAAAAAAACAAATCGTACTATAAAAATTATATCGAAAAGTTGAAGGGTCGCTATCATCAGTGTATTATCCTTGAAGCGAACTATTATATGTTGAGTAAAAAAAATGGTATTTTACCAAAAACTGTGCTTTTTACTATGGTAGGCCGAAGACTTTTCAATTGACCTGATATAATAAACCAATCGAAGTTACCTTTTTAATATTTATGCCTTCTGAATGATAAGAGGCTTAGGTACGATGTATGTTCAAAAAGTATCGGGAATTTTGTGTTTTTTCAAAAATTTTTTATTTATTCTTGAATATATATTTTGTCCCCTTCAAAGTAATTCCCATGAGATATTATACACTTTAGCCAACGGTTTTTCCAATCTTCGAAGCACTTCAAAAAATCTTTTTTTTTTTATCTTCTTCAGCTCCACCTTCGATGCCGTCTTTATCTCGTCAAGAGAAGCGTAACGTCATCCTTTCAGTTTAGGCGCCTCTTCAGTTTAGGGAACAAGAAAAAGTCACAGGGGGCCAGATCTGGGGAATACGGTGGCTGCGGCATCATTAGTGTATTGTTTTTGGCCAAAAAGTCGCGCACAAGCAACGATGTGTGAGCAGGGGCGTTCTCGTGGTACAAAAGCCAATTTTTGTCACATCTTCTCGGCCTTCTGAGAACATTTTGTAAACGTTGCTTCGGTCCAAGGTAGCTTCTCCGCATGCCACAGTCAACATTCGGAATGCATCCGCGCACTTAATTTCGTTTTTCACACAAAATTTGATACAGGCTCTTTGATCCATTTTTTTGAATAGGTAAAAGTCGAAGACGATCCAAAACACGTGCAAGCAAAGCAGCTGTCAACAATTAAATGAACATTCAAAATGGCCGAGCTTGTCGGCATAAGTGAGGGACATGAGTACCAACATAACGCCAAAAAAATTCGAAATTCGAATATACGTAACCCGCGAAAAGTCAAAATTCGCGCGACCTTTTGAACACACCTCGTATATGAAAATACTCTGCATATCTCTAGAAAATAAGTACCGTTCCGGAACAACACTTGAGAAGATCCAGTAGATGATTGGAACTTAACATATACCTACATATTATGTTTCGAACCAGGCAATAGATTTGTCAAAATTAAAAAAAGCAGATTAGAATATTTAAGCATTTTTTCATATGTAATCTTTGGAAAGGTCTCCCCTGATGATGGAGAGATATTGTTATTCATCAGAAGTTTGAAGTTTTGCATGAGGCAGAGAAGAAAGCATAAAACTATATACATACATACATATATCTGTAGCTAAACAATGTCTAGAGCATAGCAAAAGGCACATTCCACTAAGGAATATTATTGCAAATACCAAACTCAAACGATGTCCATTTCTAGGCATAGGATGGTAAGGATATAAAAAGATTGATCTTACCGGTTCACGTGCCTTTGCCTTCGAACTGAACCTTTTAAAATTGTAACAAAATTCCGAAAACATTCGAATACTAATTAAGTATAACAAACCTTTAAAAAAATTTATGAAAACAATGACCGTCACAACATGAATTAACATCAAAATAGACTATTGTGCGGTGTGAAAAGGCACTGAATCTGGATGTCCACGAAAAGAATGAAACCAACTCATTTCTTAGGCGAAACAAATGATATTGAGGAATTAAAAAATTTTTTAAGTACGTACATACATATATATTTTTGATATACTAGATGTGGCGGCAAAAAATATCAGCGTAACATTTGCTATGCCCAAAAAAGAGCTATGTATTTAGCCAGTCATGTGCGTCATATGTACATACATATGTACAAGATATTGAAGATAATTCTTTCAACGAGAGCAAATCGATCCAAGGCCTTTAGATTTCCCCTTTATATACTTATATATACATAAATCACATGTGAATCCTTTATAGCATTTTATTAATATTTCGTGACCCAAAATCCCCTCTCGATCATATGCGATAAACACAAAGTAAATAAATATCAATGAGATTGGAACAAAGCTATTGTTTTCATACATACATACAATGTACCATACATATGTACATATATATTACAAAATGGGCACAAACTGGTGACGTATTCTTATGTGTCAAATGGCATAACAATATAACATTAACGAAAATGCTCAAACAATAGAAATGATCACCGAGCTGCAATGAATGATTTGAATCCTTTTATTATTTAGCTCATACAGGTAATGAATAAGGATGAATGTATATATGTATATGTACATATATATAGGTACATAGATAGTTATAGATCTCCGCAGGATATGTACTTGAAATCTTTCATAGAGAGATATGCGATAGAAGCTATTAACTACTACTTATTAGTAAAATTGAAACACATGTCCTTAAGTCAGATTTCTTTTGGCTCTACAAATAAAGGATTCAGTTGGGTTAAGAAGCTATCAATAACTTTTTACAGCTAATGGTTGTTATGTTATAATTGTACATGACGTGCATACCTTCAATCTCATATTATTAGTACTGAAAACATTTGAAAATAACGGTCGTCTTATAAGATTTATAATAAAAAAGTTTAAACGGAACAGAAAAATTTTGGACATTTTTACTTTTTCAGTTTTCCATACAATAATATATGTAGCTATCCCTGAGCCAATTGAGTTGATTATTTTCTCTCTCTTTATAACACAATCGGGAACTCCTTTCGCACTTAGCTGAAACTATCTTGAAATAATGGGGTCCTGTTTCCCTTAAACGGGTTCAAATCTCACAAACCATCGTGAACTTTTTACTGAATACTATTTATCAGACATTCAACTCTTTCTGTCGTATCAGTTTGAACCCATCTTATCACTCCAAACTACCCCCTCCCACAAAAGATTTCTTTGAGCACAGTATGTAATAACATAAACTGTCCCCTATAAAAAATAATGAACTGATCACCTTACTGAAATCTCTTCCCATGTGTCTGAACTATTTGTTTCGAACTTGGCAGCACTTTACAATCAACAAATTAAAGCACTACCAGAGAACGTATCATGATAAACGGTCTCTGCTGATATTATACGTTCTCTGCTTAAGTTTCACACAAAAACATAGCATAATCTTAGGCGTAAATAAAAAAAACCGTTACAATAGTAATCCGTTAATAAAAAATTTAAAAGTTAGCTAAAAATAGAGAAAAGCAGAAAACGGGCGAAACCGATTCTCAAGATATTTAACAGATATCTATAAAAAGATTTAACAAATTTTAGTTTCCAAAACAATATTTGATTTGGCGAAATTCTGGTCCCTAGCAGAGAAATGTTTTTTTCACTAATAATTTATAAAAAGAGATGTATGAAAATAAATCACAGTAGAAATATATTAAGTAACATATTTTCAAATAATCTATGCCATAAAAATATTTTCATCTAAAGCACAGAGAAAATTCTTAAATTTTTTGAAAACTACTAGTACATCTCACTGATACTTCTTAATGCTACACTCATGCTGGAGTTATACATAAATATATATGTAAGTATATTATATAGACCAAATTGGTGGTCCGATTTGATTTTCTTTAAAACTTGATATTTTTCGCTATATTATGAAATTTATTAACACAAACCACTAAGGTCCTAAAATTTAATGTACTCACCACTCTTGAAATTCATTGTTGTTGTCCCTTTATAGCATGCGATTTTAATTTATGAATTTTCTTATACTTTTTACCGTATGAAAACAATTTTGCTTTACACTTTCTTATTATCACTTATTCACTTCACTATTCATATTTTTTTTTGCAAATTTAACGATTTCTACATTTGCTTTCATGATTTAATTAATATTTCTTATTATAATATCTTTCGAAGCACTTAATTTTATTTACTTTTTCATAACTGCGCACTTTCGTCTTCAATACGAGCGATCAACTGTTTGTTCGTATGTGCTCAATCGGCAAACCCAACATATCATGCAACTATTTGAGCCGAAGTCAGCTGCAGTTATTGCAATAATGTGATTTTTTCTATCATGACACATATTTTGTGCACTATTACTTCGGCAACGTCAGTTTCAAATTATGCTGCGTTTACCGATTGTGCGCATACGAAAATCAATAGCAGGTGCAGAATAAGCATTCAACTCCGCGCAATTCGGCAGTGATCATATTAAAAAGTACGCAGTGAAAAAAGTAAATAATATTAAGTGCTTCGAAAGAAATTCGAATAAAAAGTGATAATTAAATATAATAGCTATGAAGTGAAAATTGTGATATTAAATAATATAATATTTAAGTGTAATGTAAAAGAAAAGTGATATAAAATATAAAGTGATAATAGTGAGAGAAAAATGCAGATGTTGCATGACATAAAAAAAAGCCAAACAACAAATACCGAACAAGAGCGGTGAGTACATATCGTTTTAAACGTATTGTTTGAACATGTTTATGAAACTAAACATTCATGTTGATGCATGCATGATTCGACACAAATAAAGCAAGAAAATCAAATTATTATTATTTTTTTTTATTTGTTATTTTATATACATATGTATGTACATATATATACTTGTTTTTTTTCTTTTGATATTTTAACATCACCACAAATCTTATCAACTATTAACTAGACTGCACATTTACACGTCTCTATTTTTCCGCTGTCAATTTTATGGTACTATGGTGCATACGGGCAAGCAGTGGATTTAAAAAATTTTAATATAAAATATGCACACACAATACCAATAATTATAAATTTTTTAAATACATACATAGTTTGACTAAAATAATTCTGCAATATCACAATAGCAATAAAAAAAGAACTATTAATTCATATATTATAAATACAAATTACTAAAATTTTATCATTTAAGTAAATGAAAGGATTTCTATCAAAAAACTAGTATACCAAAAATCTTTAAATAAATTTTGATTATATAAAATTGAGAAAGTTGGCAACACCACAGAGCACTATTTCTTCTTTTGATACTCTTCCGTAAATCCATAAGTGTCCGCCACTGCGAAGAAAGATAAAACATATTATAAAAAAAATATATAAGAAAATTGCAAACAAATTCCAAGTCTGCTTTGCAGTCATTCAACTGTGTCTTACATTCGTAATCAGTTGAGTAGCATTCGAAGAAATCACCCAATAGCTTGCCGGATGGCAGTTCCCAAGTGCCGGTGCCTCCGTATTTCACAGGCAGCGCATTCTTATCGACATGCGACGTCAGCGACTTCCAGTCCTTACCATGGAAGAAAATCTAAAAACAAAGAAGCCGCAATTTAATAAAAAATAATAATAATAAATTTAGTTGTTTTCATTAATGCCTTACCCGCTTCCTTAGCTTTTCGCGTATGAACGGCTTGAAGATAGCAAATAACATATTGAATATATAGGAATTATTTACAATATGCACCGCCTTGAGACGCATACAAATGCATTCTTGCACATAGTCCAGCAACATGGCAGCAAAAGATGGTGTAAACTGCATAACATGGCTCATGGGTAGGCCTTCCATATCGATAATGACTATAGCGCCACAGATTTGTGAAAGCGGTTCAGCCATGGAGCCCAAGACCTAGTAGGAGATATGAAGAAATATGCGAACATTTTAAGATCAATATTTGAATTAAGGTAAGTAAAGAAACTTACTGTTAGTTGTATTGTGCGGAATAGATCGACCAGTGGAGCACGAGAGGGTTTCCATTTCTCTGTAAAATTAAAAATATTTATATTTTTTAAGACAATTCTAAAAATCAGCATTATTTGCTTAAGTCAACTTATGTTGCCAACTCACTTCCTGCTTCAATGGCGAGAATTCGACGTCCATGTTGATCTCTGTTGGGAAACAATGCCAAAATGTCCTCTTCGAAAACATTACGCAATTTACTGGGCACAATATTCTCACAGGGAGCGCCATATTTCGATTTCATGTGATAGAAGTTCTTGAGCTGTGGATAAAAGAGACGCAAATGTTTTATAAAAATATTGGCTTAGGTATACCATGTTAAAGTTAGATGTCACGCGACCATATTTTTTATTATTTATTATTTACGGCCCCACTTACCCTTTTCATCGCCGACTCTGGATAGTAATGGCATGGACGCAGGAACATTTTCATATATTCATCATCCAAAGGCAGCTTTAAGTGTTTTTCCTCTGTTAAAATATTAAAAATGGGAGAAAATAAAAAAGCTTTCAAAGCTATTCTATAAAAAATTTGTTTTTTAACAATATTCAAAAATTATTTTTAGTTTTGAGAGCAGATAGATTTTTTATCAGAGCTTTCACCTAAGGTTTTAAATTTGGATATAGGAGTTTTTTATAAGAGCTTTCATGTAAGTTTAAACTTTCATAAAAATTTGAATAATAGTGAAAACTTTTACTTAAGTATGCAAAAATTTGTACTAGAAAATATTTAACATAGTAAATATTTATGTATGAGCTTTCGGATACTTTTTAAATATTATTTAAGTATTATTCAGTAAAGCTTTAAATGAAACTTTAAAAAGAGTTTATCTATTTTATTTTTGCTTTCAAAGTTGTTTAAATGACTTTACTTAAGCTTTCTACAAATATTGTGTAGCAAAGCTTTCACAGAAATTTCAAAAAGTTATGAAAGCTTTGATTTCAGTAAATAAGATTAACGCAAAAAAGCTTTCACGGAAGCTTTGTTGATACTTACCTTCAATTAACTCACGTAACTTTTTAATAGCAGGTTCCATTATTTCCGGCAATTCACGTAATTCCTGACGCGCTTTCTCCAAAGCCCATTCTGGTGCTTCTTCTTTCTCCATACGTATAATTGCTGTACCCAAATCGATGTACGGCACTTGATTGTCGTCGTACTTTATGCTCTCGGCCTTGACCATTATGCGGGCAAATTTGTAGTGTTTGTGCTAGTCAAATTAAGTAACTGCAAGTGAAAGAAATCGGTCGATAATCAATTAATTAGTTAGATATAAACTGGATTATATGTTCTTAGTTTATAATAAATATTTTTAAGAGTAACTCCAATACAAGCAATAAGCCACCCTATAAAATTTATACTTAATTACATACAAATTATAATTCAGTAAGATCGCAATAAATTCACTTTCAGTAGAGATACATAACCATATGTAATCTACATATAGTTTGTATTACCTGTAATTGACAATTTAATCAAAACAAAGCAGACAATTAAATAATAGAACAAGCGCAACAGGCAACGCCAATATACAAGTATTCCATATAATTTGTAGAATTTGCATAAGGATTCATTTTATTTTTATGAGTATTGAGAAGCACTTGAAAAATTTTAATGATTTCATTCAAATATTCTTATGCAAAAATTTAATTAATTCACCTGTCAATAAATTCTGTTCAAGTTTTATGCGCTGCCACACACCTCGCTGATAATATTGATATTCTCAGAGAAGATAAACATTTGTAATATTTGCACTCAAATTACCGCATTGGAATTGAAACTGCAACAACTATAAATCAATCCAACATACGGCACTGTTTGTGTATAATTTAATACGTTTCAAGCTCAATCTGTTGGAGTATTTATATACGTATATTCGTGCGAAGAATTCAGCGTAACACAAAATTTATCTTTGGATCGTGAATTAGCAGACTTCACATGCATTTCGAAACTGAAAAATCCACCTCGGGGAACTCACAATGAATCTATTGATTCAATCTATAAAGCTTCCCTGACAAAGTGTTCGTGTCGTAAGCATACAGATCTCAATCTCAAGCATACACTAATTGACATGTGGCGATCTAACTTCTTCTTCTTTATTGGCGTAGATACCGCTTCGAAAACAGCCTCGGAAAAGAAACCCCCCGTTGGATGATGCCCATGGCAACGCCATCTAATTTTAAATGAACATTAAAAAGTTGGACCAATTTAGGAAAAAAGCAAGAAATAACGTTTATTTTGGTTTCTCCAAAGCTAGAATATCCCTCACAATTAAAAAAGTTTCCATACAAGAACTTAATTTTGTTCGATCGGTTTCTATTGCAACTACATATGTACATATATGACTTAGTGTTCTAATATGAAAATATTATTCGGAGATTAAATCGCTTATAGGACTCTAATCCATGCAAAATTTCGAAGATATCTTGTCAAATAAAAAAAAATCCATACAAGTACCTATTTCAAAAGCGATGTGCTAAATTTCAGATCGATAGCTCAAAAACAGTGAGACTGGTTCAGATATTTATACAAACGGACAGACATTAGTATTATATATATATAATACCATGTAGGATCCCGAAGCTTTTTTCTAGGTATTAAAGACTTCATGGCAATATATCCTGTTCAGGGTATAAATATTTATCGAATCGGATTTATTAGAGAGATGTTTAAGAACTCTCAATACAGTCGAAAGTAAGTCGAAAATGATTCAATTGTGGATCAACACACATTGGATCTATGTTAGATGTACAAAAATATCTCAATTCTTATCAAAACTGTACTAACGAAGGTGGAAAAATTATGGAACATCACATAGAGCTCTACAGTATTCTACAGGATGGTTCATATAGCCTATGCTAGCTGATTCATGGTAGTGTATTAATGGGTTAATGAGTTTGGTGCCAGTTTTTAGCTCTAGATTTGAACCTTTAATGGATTTTCGGTAAAGGGCGTTCCTAACTATAAAACGAGCGGCTGGTCAGTTGTCTCCGAGCACCTGGAGAGTCAGGACAAACATTTTCGCGCGACGTTTTTCTGTAAGTGGTGCAAACGGAAAATACACTGTTCGTTAGAGCAGAAGTAAGCGATTAAATTTTGTGTAAAACTCGGTAAATCTGCGACAGAGACGTTTGATATTATCAAGCAGGCTTGTTGCTTTAGCAAGAAGTGCGGTGTTTCGGTCAAGCCTTTTTGTAGGATCGGGAAGAGGTCGCTGTTGAAGACCGTGCTGGGAGACCTGCGACAAAGAGGCAATCTTCCGACGGTAGAGGGGATCCAAGCAGCATGCACCTTGGCTTTCAAGGCTTGAAAATCGCGCAGAAGAAGCCTATTTTGAAAGTTTGTAAAATATTGTAATGATTCGTTCAATAATTTTTTTTTTTTTTAAATCGACTCAGTCCTATTATTTTCCGGTCAAACCCTGTATCATTAAATAACCTACTTAACGGAATATTTCAGTTGACCGTATACAAATTATTGTACCTCGCACAACTCAATTCTAGTTAGTCACTATCGTACTATAGCAATTACACGTTAAACACTTGGTTTCTATAAAACCGCAGCCAGCCAGTGGTGCTCAAAAGCATTAAATATTGTTAAACGTAAATACTAATTATATATACTATATATTTAAGTTATCGTCAACATTGCGATTAGAGGCTGTCAACATTTTTAATTGTCCGTTCGAGCGCAGAAAATTATAAAGTCAAACGGGAATATTTATGAGTAGCCGCCGAAGTGTGTCGGTATGTATCCAATATCGGTGCAGCAAATGGCATTTAATTGAGAATTTAAATTCATGATTGTATTACATATTATATTAAATATTAATTTATTTCATACATTTTATAGAATTATGTAATAAAAAAACATATCCATACTAATGCATGTACATATGTAAGTAGATAAAAAACGAATGTGCTTCTTACGTGCTCTGCGCGCCGGTAAATTATACTCTCATACACACCTGTCTACCTGCAGCTACATACATATGTTCATATAAATGACTATAAAGAGATTTTTAATTGCCCAAATCTGCATCTTAAGTATAATTTTATTTTATTTTTTATAGATGGCAATTTCTCGGTTCACTTTTTTGTCAATTTTCACTCGATGTGCTTGTTTTCTAAAGTGCGCATAATTAAAGTGATAAAAAGAGCTGACATACATACATAAACACATATGTACATACTTTTAATGCACTTTAAAACAAATGACGCAGAGGATTTAGAAAGCGCTCACAATAATAAGCGACAAATGTCAAGGCAGACAAAGAGTTGCAAATGTTCATAGCTTGATTTATAAACGTCTCATTGTTTAAAGGGGCCTATGACTTTTAAGCGAATTGGACAAAGTATAAAACTGTAGTGGGTTTAACTATACCACATGGCGCATTAACAGCATAAAATATATAGCATTATATTCTAGGAACAATGTTAAGAGAGTTTAAATAACTATTATTGTATTAATTCTGCTAATCGACTATATCTTTCGATTTCACTGCAAGGTTAGTTTCGGTTAGGTTAGATAGATCTTTCACCATTGAACACACTTAGACTCTTATATACAGTTATTTGTGATGCCAAAACGAAAAACTCCCGTAGTTGGACTTCAGCTATTCGTAAAAACGTCCTGAGCCTATCATAAATCTGTTTGTTTTATTTATATTTCCGCTATTTCACATGGACGTCTAAAAGTATGAGATCCGAGCTGTTCTTGTCTTAGTCTGAAAAAACGGGGCATTAGGGATGGAAGTGTTGAGATTATTCTAACCAATCTTCTTTCCAACAATTGATGTAGGTGACATCAGGTAAGATACTTAATCCTACGGCTATGAATCCCGATCGGACAGTGTCCACTTAAACTTTTTCCATCATCACCACTGCAAAATATATGGCAGCCACGTCCGCTTAGAAGACATTGCAATGACCAAGTATCTTAAAACTAGAACTGATGAAAAGTTTACGAAAGTGTACTCCCCTACCAGACCTCTCCGCAAATGTTAATCCATCCGTAAAAGACTCACTGCCCCTCTTCTCCAGAGAATCCTTCCCTCCCATGCCTACCCAGATGATCTGAAACTGAGAGCTTATACGGCCATACACTTGCTATGTGCAGTAAGACCTTCAGTGCCATTAAACAAGTTATGGACTTTATACGGTTCTAATCAGCACATTTCCTCTAGATTACTTTAGAGCAAGTTTTATAATTGGTCTTGGAATCAGGGTTTTCATGCCTTTCAACTTTTAGAGAACTGTAATTGCTTCTTTAACAACTTTTTTTATATAGAAAACGGATTCTATCACAAACCTTAAATTTTCTCTAATATTGCGACTCTGACGTTATGAACCAGCATAGATAGTGTTTTTCTCTGTATAGTGCTTATTGCTGTTTAATAAAATACGTTCATTGCTTTGTGATAATATATCATTTATTATATATCATTATATTATATATGTAATATTATATTAAAGAAAGTGTTCTTTTTAGAGGCATAGTACTTTTTAGAGTGAAAAAAGTCAAAAGCTACTACTAGCGATTTATAATCTGATATAAGATAAATAAATGTGGATTGCATCAGGATCAAAAGTTTATTGTGCCCTCAACAGTCTGAAATAGTTTCCATGCCAAAGTGATTAAGAATAAATCGAAAAGTTATCGATAGGTTTCAGCAGCCCATTTTTATAGCTAAACGAAATAATTTTGAAATATTTTGTCCACTAGTCCTAATAATAGATCCTCCCATGTAGTAATCAATTTAATCAGGCGAAATAATTTAAGATATTAACTCACGTCAACTACAGTCATCAGCGTAGCCGTTGTCGGAAGTATCATAAATTCAAAGTGGAGCCAAGTTTAAAATATTTTTTTCCAAAAATTTCAGAATACCAAAAAAAAATCTAATAAAATATTTAATTTTTTTTATTTTAAATAAAAAAAAAAAAAATTTGAATAAAGGCCCAATAATAACATTATTTACTACTCCTCATACTACTGTTTACAGGTTTGCATTTAGTATTCAGATTACTCATAGCTCTCCTCTGCTGTGGCTTATTTGCTTAAGTAGCTTAGCTAATTACAAAATAATAGTAATGATTGTGATTAGCAAGCAATATACAATTGTGGTAATGTTAATTGCTGAAATGTTAAGCTTCATTTTTTTGTTTACAATAATTACTAATTTTGCCTACTTAATTCTAAAAAAATTTATGTTTATTGTATTTTAT